TCCCAGGAACTGGAACTTAATTCCTCTCTTTTGAGTGAGGCTGGACTTAGTGACTCTCTGGCCAATAAGAGTGCAGAAAGGGAAAAATAAGTCACTTTACTGTGGAGACACCTTAATTTCCTAAGTTTTTAAGGTTAATATCACCAGGCATAAATCATGTTGATATCATCCACCTTAGATATGATCAGCGAAATGGGCACTTCCTGTGGCATGTCTCCCAAAAACTCCATGACTTCAGTCTAATGAGGAATTGAAGAGCATTCTGTAAAATGTCTGACCAATGTTTGTCAAGAGCAGGGGTCCTCAAACTTTTTAAACAGAGGGCCAGTTCACTGTCCCTCAGACCCGTTGGAGGGCCGGACTATAGTTAAAAAAACCAAAAAACTATGAACAAATTCCTATGCACATTGCACATATCTTATTTGGAAGTGAAAAAACAAATGGGGCAAAAACACCTGGCTGGCCAGATAAATGTCCTCAGCGGGCCACGTGTGGTCCGCCAGCCATAGTTTGAGGGCGCCTGGTCATGAGCCTGAAGGAATGACCGAGAAACGGCCACAGATCCAAGGAGATAAAATGACTACACTCACTGTAATGTTCTGATTTGGGTCCTAGAACAGATAGAGACGGTAGTGAGAAGCCTGATGAAATGTAAATGAATCTCTTTGGCAATGATGTCATACCGATGGTACTGTATTAGAATTAACGAGTGTACCCTGACATGTACCGTACTGACATTAGACCAACCTGGGTAAAGGCTCTCTGTGCTCTCTTCACAACTCTTTGGAAATCTAAATTTATTCTAAGATTAAAGGTTAAGAAAAAGCAAACAACTCCTCCTTGGTGAATTTCATTTGAAAGATACTTGCTGTTTTAAAATGTCTTCTGAGAACATTAGTTCAGAGGAATCCCCCTCTCTCCCCAAAGCCTTGGTGTGTTCTCCCCACAACAGATGAGCGCTTTCTTATCTGCTGCCCTGTCATGTGACAGAGAGAGTCAGTTCTCCAGCACTCTTCTTCCCCATTACAGCAGAAAGCAGCTTTGCTTGATTTGTCCAGGGTCGTTCAGCCAACACGGATTCTGTACCTTTTGTGACTTGAAAACGTGCTTAGCACTTACCTTATATACTCATGTATAAGCTGTGTTTTTCAGCACATTTTTTAATGCAGTTTTTGTGGTAAAATTAGGTGCTTTGGCTGATATTCGGGTCAGCTTATACTTGAGTATGTACGGTAGCTCACCAAAAAATACGCAGTTAAAAAAAGTGGCAAAATGAAGCAGCTGAGATTTTAGCTGCCTGTGCTATGGGTTTTAAAGTGCAGGTATTATCTTTGAACTTCTCATTCAGATCTTTAGAGGTTATACATGTAGTTTCTTGACTATCTCTTAATCCCTGAGTATTGGTGAATTCACTTAGTATGATGTACTCGATAAGAGGGCTACATAGGAAAACGTCTCCGATAGAGAATTAAAAGTGGTATATTGCTATTCACCCTTTTAAATACTGTCTCATAAATTCAGTGTTAATTATGGGCTTAGTTATAAAATCCTGATTTATAAATACTTTATTCTTATTTTTCTTTTTCCCCTTTATTTATTTATTTTAATAATTTTACTGGGGGCTCTTCTAGTTCTTATAATATTCCATATTATTCCTATTTTCAAGTTCACATTAACTAGTAGGATAACAGTTGATTTAGAAGGCCTAGTAGGATCTTGTTTTAGTAAATAACAACACATAGTCAGCTCAAGGTGATTATTGTTATAGTAACAAATTAGAATTTGGACACTAAAATTTAACCCCTCCACAATATGCCTATCATTCTCGTGATCTGGCCGTTAGTCTTTAGTTTGCACACATGTGGGAGATATTTTTTTTATCAGTTAAGTTTATTATACTGTCTAACCCATGAGTATGTGTTCATCTTTGTAATATATCAGGATAACTAAAACAATATTACTACTAGGGTCCCAGTGCAGACATGCACAAGTTCATTCCAAACAAAACACATTTAAAACGGTCTGTGATTAGTGAATGGCTGTAGACACGTTCTCTGAATAATACAGTTGGTTTACTAGGGTGCCATTAATTTTTTTTTCAAGATACTTTTTATACTATGGGGGGAAATGATTATGAGGCCAAGACTAATAAATTTTTAACAAAGCTGGACTGGGTAACTGAAACTTTGAAACAAGTTTATGGCAATGCCTCCCACACCAAACAGTAGTTTTCAGACATAACGAGTATTTTTAGGGTTGTCAGGAAGACCCCAAAGATGAATTCACGGCAGAGAGATTAGCTCAGAAGGTTATGGTGACTAGTTTTTTGGAATTCCAAAGGGATAATCCTGATTGATTTTTCTCAAAAGACACGGGACTTTCATGGAGCCTTATTAGGAAGGTGGTTTAAGAAAATTGAAAATTGCCCCCCCAAAAAAAGAAAGAAAAAAAACAACAACAGAAAATTGCCACGGTGAGAAAAAGACTAGGGAAGTTTCCTGAGGAATTCCCTTGGCCCTCGTCTTTTCTTCAAAGGTAGCAAGGGCTATCCTACACGAATTTTGCTGGGAAACGTTACCCTATCCATCCTACAGCACTGATCTTGCCCCTCAGATTTCTTTTGTTCCCCAAACCCAAAGAAAGTGGAAAAGGAATACAATTTGAGTCTCAGAAAGGTGCCGCAACGGCCATTGTGGCACATTGAAATGGAAGAGCACGGGGTTTTTCAGGAAAGGTTAGAGCAATGGAAACACTATCTTCAGACATGTACAGACCTAGACAGAGACCATGTCAAGAAACAATAGCTTTACATTTTGATTTTTTTGTTTAACGAAAGTTTGTGATTTCGTAGTAATACATTTTTGCATACAATCATAACTAGAGCTATCACTTTTCTTAACCATGATGATGCATTAAGGTTAATATGGTGGCAGGTACAGGCATTTTCAGGAAAGCTCTGACTCCCAGTTTGATAATATAATATATGTCCAAGCAGCTACAATGAGATTTTAGTTAATACTACTATTTAATTGCTATAGTTAGGCTGGGCAATGCATAATTTATAGCAATTCTGAAACTAGGAACAGAAGAACTATAAGCTATATGACAGACTTGCCAAAATTGCTATTCAACAAAAGTACAGACTGCACATAGTTGACTAGCAAGCCATTCTTATAAAATGCATATGACATATTCTTGACAACAGCTGTTTTCAAAATACGCATTTTTTAATATTAATGTGCTTTTAGATTTATAAAGTTTGTAAGCAAGTAGCTTAATTTCCTAAATTTATATTTCATAAACCATTTTACTCGTTAGATATGAGAGGGCTTCAAAAAGTTTGTGGGAAAAAGTCCCTTATCTTTTCATTCAGTTTTCCCATGAACTTTCTGAAGTGCTTTCATACTGTGTATCCAGTTGTCATTGAGTATTTTCCACATGAACTAATAAATCAGGAGTTCATTTGCCTATTTTAGAAATTAGGAAATAGAAACTTTGTAAGTTTAGAGACTTAACTATGTTTTATGCTGCATATGATGGGATGTCATAGTGACCCTTTAGGGCAGTGGCCTCCTGCCCCTGTGGGTTTCTGACACAGAAACTTGGCACCGGCGTGGAAAGTGCTGCTGATGCCCCGGGGGCCGTCGGAATGGGCTCAATGCAAGGAGTTTGGTTTGGTTATGACTTGTTAGAGGTGTTGGTTGCCTTGTATTTGGATATAAGTAATGTATCAAAACTAAAAGTAAGTGAATCCTTAGGAAGGAAGTAGGGGAACTTGATACTAGATAATGAGTATTTGAGAGTAAATGTAACAAGTTTACTAAGTGGGACATCTCTTGTGGAGGGCAGGGTGCAAATTGAGTTCTCCAGACACTAAATGTATTGGGTCTGTTGAATTTGGTGAATATGCAAATATGCCAATCAAACGTAACACTCATTAAGGGAAAAGGAATACAATCTAATAGTTGGCGTGGACATGTGTTTGTCTAATCTGTGAATTGAAAACATCTTTTAAATTTTTTCTTCCCTTCATATTCCTAGGTGGTAGTGAATATATGGGTAGGAAAATGAGAACATTTCAGATAATGCTAATGAAGTTAAATGATTGCAATCTAACATATTGTGAGGAAGAGTTGTTAGCTATGAAAGATGAGGACAGAATTAAAATACTACCCTGACTGGCATTTGATTTGAAAACTGCAAAGATAAGCTAGGTTCCTATTTAGGAAAACCATCTTCACAGCCTGATGAAATATCTTTTAAAAGGTTCTGTAGTTACCATGGATACTTGCTAGCGTTAATAAAGAACGTGGTGATCCACCTTCAATCATCTGAGGTGAAGTCACCAAAAACCAGTGCGAGGAAAAGTCGTTCCATCTCCAAATTCATACGAGTTTGGGAATGTAATGCAAAAGTAGCCCAAATGTCGGATGTTTGCTTCATTATCACTGCTTGAAAGCCAAAATGCTTAGGACACACACACATCGGCTCCATTCAATCCTTGTGCTGCTTTTCTTTTTTTTTTTTTCCTTGTGCTGCTTTTCTATGTGCAACTTTTTCTTTTAACGAGTGAAAGGAAGCCTTCAGAGTTCAGCCTGGGAATTTAGGTGATGAGGCTTTCCGCGGTCGGTGAAACGTCAGCAGCACACTGGCTTGTTGAGAGCCGGGGCCACAGACAGTATTGTAGGCATTGGTCCCCTTGGTAACATCTGTGCATCTGGCCCAGAAGTGCCTGGTTTATGCTTAGCTACTTTTAATTGCTATATATTGACAGCCACTTTCGGATAAGTGAGCGGGTGCACCCAGGAAGGCGGAGGCTTGATTAGATGCTCAGCGTGACAGGGTTCCACATGAAGAGAGGCGGGTTTTCCATGTTTCCGAAAGGGCTGCCATGAGCCGCAGTCAAGTCGACAGCACTAGGTTCAATGTGTCTGTCATAGGGTAGAAGCACAAAGCCTTTCAAATGATTTAAACATTTTCTCAATTCTCTCATAAAACAGGTGATAAAAGAGCTAAAACAGTATGACAATAAAATTATAGAATGCAAATTTGAGAATAACAGCTGGGTCTTCATGAGACAGAGAACAGACAAAAGTTTCCCTAATGCCTACAACACTGCCATGGGTGAGTATGCCAACCGATCATTGTGTGTTACGTTCAGACAGTGGAGGTGTTAGACCCAAAAGGTGGGCTCTCTGTGTTGTTCTGTGCAGAGTCACCCAGACATCACATTTGTCTGATGGGAAGATGGTGGGTCAGGTCTGGAGCCTGTAGGAAACTAGTTAGCTCAAATGGTCTCTCTAGCCTGGTGGGCTTTGGCTTATACACCCAAGAGAGGGATTTAAAGACAGGATAATGGGCTGTATCCAAGTTGAATTTGTTGAACAACAAAAGCCAGGATAATTTCAGTGCTATTCAGAACTTCAGAAACCATTGTTTGCCAGATGGTAAAAGACAAAGTTATCGGGGGGGAAATGTAATTCCCCACTCCTAAAATAGCTTCACAAACAATGGAGAACAAAGTACAAGAAAACTATTAGACATACGTCCCTCTCCACTCCAAAAACAACAGCCCTGTCCAGAGTGAACTTAAGAGTTTTCGCTGGGTTCAGTGTGAATGCTTTGGGAATTCAAAGTGGTAAGATCTTTAATAGGATCAGCCCAGATTGACGGGAGTGTCTTTTGATAGTATTACTAGTAGCAGTGCTACTCTGGCTTTCTCTTTTGGTGGGACTGAAGAAACAAGTAACGCCCCAGGTACAGAGTAATAGAATTGTGTACCTTTTGAGTGCACAGTAGACGATGGTGACTGTATGATAGGCATAGGAGAAAATAGAGAAATTTCCAGAATAGATTTTACAGCTTAAAAGAAAGCCCTTAAGGATTCTTGTTGGAATTAGGTAAGAACCCGTCATCAGGCAGGATAACTTTAAAAGTAGAAACCATCAAGCCGATGTCTTTTTTCCCCAAAACCAAATAAGTAAATAAAATTTAAAGTGCTGGTACTAAATTTTCCTCCCTTAAGAGAATGGTAGCAGTGGTGATCACCGTGGGTGATTCACAGAATGGACGTCTGCCTGAGGGGCTGGGCTGTAGCACACGTTTCCTGTGGAAATTGTGGTCGCGCATGGACTCTGTGCAATGTACTCTGTAAGATTCAAACCCCAGCCGAGCTGTTTGAAGGGATAGAAAAACCATAATGAAGACAAGTTTAAACCCAATGCTCCCAAGTTTTGCTTTAAAATTAATGAGTACAGCCAAGAGAGAAGCCAGGAGCAAAGCCCTTGTTTGGGGAGCCGGGGAGTGGGGCACTAGTTGAATAGGAAGCCAATTCTGTAATCTGGAGTGCTTAGCATATTGGGATGGCAAACCTTTCCCCTTTCTCATACGCATGTGGTGAGTTAGCTGGCTGAATGACCCCTCACATGAGGCATGTGTCTCTTTGTCCACAGCTGTGTGCAACAGCATCTCAAACCCTGTCACCAAGGAGATGCTGTTTGAGTTCATCGACAGATGCACAGCCACTTTTCAAGGACAGAAACGAAAGCATCACCTGGATCCTGATACAGAGCTCATGCCACCACCGCCTCCCAAGAGACCGCGCCCTCTCACCTAAGACCAGCTTGATCGCGGGGTGCAGGGGAGAGAGGAGTAAGGAAAAGTGTTGTCACCCATTTTTGCAGTCAGAGAAATCGAAGAGAGTGGCTGATGTCGATACACATTTGAAGTTTTTGTTTTTGCTCTTGTTTTGTTCTGTTTTAAAGAAAGGTATTGTAGCAGCCTGTAAATATTGATGTCTTTGTTTCCTCCGTGCTGCCAGTACAGTGTGGACTTAATACGTTTTCTCTCTGATAAACTCAGCCTTACCTTGTGGAATCTGAAGATTTGAATACCCAAAGGTGTAAACAAGATGGAAATCAATGAAAAAGAGGCCTTGTTTATATTTGGATAACTTCCATCGTTAATTTATAAAGTTAGCAACCTAGACTTGTGAGAGCACAGGACACTGTATTTTAGAAGTTGTCTTTCAACTGTGGTCAATTTTCCTTTAAAAACATGTGGGCAGTGGCATTGCACACTCTCGCTATCCGTGCTGTGGATTTCCTGCACTGGGGTTCCTGCACTGGAAAACAAAGGCACGCTTTGTATTGTCTTAAGAACTGTTTTTGGAAATGTAAAAGAAAAGGGTGGGAAGGAAAGCCCCATGTATGTGCATTGCATCCTTTTTAAAGGAAGAACATTGTTGTTTTTCCCATCTGTTAACTATCGTTTGAACTACAACATAGACTCCGTACCTAGTATGCCAGTTCCAGTTACTTCAGAGCACTTGGATGTACACCCCACCATCCTGAGTCTTCTCTCCTGGGAGGTTTTTGTTTTGTCATGGTTTTGAATGCCAAGGGCGGCTTCTTGGCCTTACCTCAGTGGTATCAGCACATTGTAAATTACATTAAAACTCACAACTCACTGTGGTCTGTAGAAGTGATAGCAGATACGAATGATGTTGTGTTCGATCCGTTGTACCAAATGGCCAAGGAAATGCCAGCTGACTTCTTTGATTAGAAGGTAATGTCAACGGAACAGAATGGTATCACTAGAAATTGGTCTCCCACAGCTACATAAATGCAGAGGCAAGAGGCATATACTTGTAGGAACTAACCAACAAGGAAACCAAGACATTCATTTTCAAAGCCAGAGCAGCTGCTGTTGTCACATACATGCATTTTGAAAATTGACTTGTAGGCCATTGTTGAAAAATTGTGCTCTGATTGATGTGTGAAGGAACTCTGAGAATGGGCCAATTCAAGGCTAATGTATTTATTTTTAGAGGTGCAGGTTTTAAGTGTATGTATTTAAAACATTTCCATGCTCTGAATTTTATATATGTATACATATGTATATGCATACGTATGTGAGTATATGCAACAGTGTATGTTTTTTTAATACAGTCAGACATGAACATCTAAATGGGTTACCTAATAGACCGAAACTCTGACAGGATTTCTATACAAGATAGCACAGACTAACCAAAAATGTATTTATATTCATCTAAGTTTTCATGTTTTTAAACAAGGTTTTCTCCTGCAGTGCTTTTCTATAAGAACTACTAAAGTCATGTGTGGGTTTTTTTCATTTGTTGTCCCCAAGTTATGTAATGTGTAGTAACGTGATCCAAAATCCATCTTAGTGATTCTTTCTGAGAGTACAGTTCTGTTTTGGGCACTAAAGAGATTAAAACACCTGAGTGCCACAGCGACTTTTGAAAGAGGGAAAGTTCCAAAGCTTCACAGTGTCTTTTACACAGTACATTTCTAAAAATGCTATGCAACTCCAAAAGTCTGATGTCTACTTCCCCTGGAATAGCGACTCTCTTGACACGGTATGTTGCTTTCTTCTGAGCCTGGGTAAAGATGAAGCCCCTTTGCAGAGAAAAAGCAATCCTTTGCAATGATCCCTAATAGAGTTAAAGTGTTTATGGTAATTGTAACCTTTCAAATGCGTTAATGTGAAAAGAGCATCTCATTTTTTAAAAGATTTTGATATTTTTTCTTTGTCTTTGTGCATTTTAGCAGAAGTTAAGTTTCTGAATTTATCTCTTTTCAATTACAATGATGTGTAATTGCAGTTCTAAGTCCACCTTAGGACTAAGACCCAGCTGGATCCTTAACACACTGATACCTGCAGCTTCAGGACAGTCCCCTAGAAGGTCAAGAGATGATGCCAGAGACAGGAGTCGGGATGTTGTGAACGAGATGCTTCTCTCAGCCCACTTGACAGTAACTCTTTTCTGAGATAGAAATTTCATAGGTAAGAATAAGAAAACATAACTTTCTTGAGTTCCCACATTTCAACATTGTTGATTTGCGTTGGGACAAGGTGTGGGTGCCTCCTGCCTGGATGGATAGTTACATTTGCTTTCCATGAAATGCTCAGAAAATGTCAGGACATTCCTTCTCTAATTGTCTGTCAGTGTGCATTGTAATAAAACTGCTGATTTAAAAGAACAGGCAATACCTCTGCTTTGTTTTACTAGTGATGTTTTTGCGTGTGTTGCCCCTTTATTTAACGGATGCCCATGCTGACCTCAGATCCTGCTGTTGGTTAACCACAGCCTGATAGAATCCATCTGGTTTGTTGCACTCTGGAGATCACCACAAAGGCACAAGAAACCAAACAATTTGATTGACCTGAGGGCGTGGCAGGGCAAATCTTTATAAATATTTATGATGTTGCTGTTCATCCAGCTCATCCTAACAGTCTACTGTATCAGAACATTTCTGTTACATCAATAATATTCTGTAGTGATAAAATAATAAGCTATCAAAATTTTTAGTTCACTGTTCATTTTGGGGAGAGATAAGGCTCATACCCCTGTAAAGATTTAGTCTTAGACACTATGTAGGGTCACTCTGGTAGTGAGTTTGGTTGGGATACACTTCAAAAAATGTTTTTATTAATAAATAATTTTATCGGGGGCTCTTAATAACTCTTACATTCATTGTATGTCAAGCACATTTGTACATTTGTTGCCATCATCATTCTCAAAACATCTGCTTTCACTTGAGCCCCTGGCATCAGCTCCTTATTTTTTCCCCTCATTCCTCGCTCCCCTCTCCCTCATGAACCCTTGATAATTTATAAATTATTATTTTGTCATATCTTACACT